TGTGCATGGTGTCTCGTGGGTCCTTTGATGGGAGTGAGGCAGAAGGGCTGGGTCCAAACAACGAGCTGGGGGTGGAGGCCTGGAGAGTAAGGAAGGAGGAGGTGTGGGCGTGGCCAGAGGGAGCACAGGTCAGGGAGGTGGCAGGCCCAACTGCTAAGGTCTCTGGGAAAGTAAACAAAGGAGACAGGGATTTAGCGAGCACAGATGGTGGACCCTGAGCTAGGAGGGAGAGAAAGTACAGACAAGGTGGAGACAGAGAAAGGGAAGGAGGGGAGAGAAGAGGAGCAGGTGAGGCTCACGGGAGCACTTTGGGGCCACTGTGTTGAGTAATGCAGAGACACAGACTTCTGTCATGGTCATCTGACACGTGGTCATGGAGAGCTCTGGAGAATGGGCCCAATTCTGCAGTCCGCTCACAAAGGTTTCAAATCCTGACTCTGAAAGGGCGCACGGATGAAGGAGGCACCCGAGTCCCGGGCTGACAGTTCACCAGAGAAGTCCTGCTTTATTCAACGACTGCGCGTATATTTATAGGGAGCTGCGTTCGGGGTTTGGATAGGGGTGGACGGGGCGGTAGCTGATTGGACGGGGCTGGGCAGGAAGTGAGCCTTGACCTGTGACTGGTTGAGGATTGGCGCCGGTGGGCTTTTACTGCGGAGAAGAACCTGGAAGGGCGCCATATTGCCAGGGAGTGCCTTCCCCCTCCCCCTCCGCTTGAGTGCCCACGGTATCCCTACAGACTCCACTGAGCTCTTCCAAGTCCTCTGCTTCCCCTCTTCTAGTTCTCCCAGGCTGGCTTCCCAGCTACTCCCAGCTAAGACCATGGGTGTCTAGAGGGACCTGGGCCTTCAGTGAGGGCATCTGCCCAACCTCCTAGGTCCCTGGGATTCAGACCTGCTCCATGTTTTTCTCACTAGGGGACCGGAGGCAGGAGGCTTCACCAAGAAGACTTTGGTCTCCATGCACTGGCCTTCATTGACTGCAAAGGCTGAAGACCAGAGCTCTAATCCCAGACAAAATGACCCTCATGATATATGTTTAAAACCTAGAGCCCAGGCCTCTTCCATGCTGTCTGCTGTCCCCAGACAAATCCTGTGGCCTGGTTGTGGGTGTTGTACTCTGGCCTATGTGGTTAACCCAAACCAGTGCTCCAGCCATCAACTACTCACCTACCCATCTGCAGACTCTGGGACTCGGGTCTCACCACCCTGTGCCTCTCTCCCTGCAGGGGGAGCTGCTGAGCCCGTGCCGCTGCGATGGCTCTGTCAAGTGCACGCACCAGCCATGCCTCATCAAGTGGATCAGCGAGCGGGGCTGCTGGAGCTGCGAGCTGTGCTACTACAAGT